GGGCGGGGGCCGCGCCGCGCCTGCACCACAGCCAGGCTCCGTCCGAACGTGACAGTCACCAGTCCCCACGAATGCCCCCGGCCCCTATGAATTCATCACTGCCGCCTTCTGCTTCGCCCCAGGTAAAAAGGGAAAGTGCGGTTAACCATCAGAACGCTCTATTTTTAACAGGAAATTAGTCGTTGTAGCGCTGACGGTTTCAGTCAGAGACCACGGGTGGTACCACAAGCCTGAGGGACTCTTTGGAATGGTCATTGTGTACAACAGAAAAATATTTTATATTTTAGCTTAAGTTAAACCCTCGAGTTTATTATCAGAGACTTTGTGACTTCTTTATATTAAAATGTGTTCTGTGGGTTTTAGATTGTAAATAGGCTATTTTAAATTGTAAATAGGCTAACCTTGTACAGAAACTTAGCCCAAACCTTGAGAACAGCACCATTCAGAAGCAGAGGCAAGAAATCCAGGCGTTAACTGCAGTCCTGAGGGACAGAGAGAAGGAACTCAACGACATGGTGGCAGCACATCAGACACAGCTCCTGGCCTGGGAAGGGGATCAGCAAAAAATACTGACTCTAGCAGAACGGTGCAGCTTACTGGAAAGTAAGTATTGAGTGTACAAGAATACAACCCTGGTCTTCTAAGTATATTGAGGTGCTTAGACCCCTCAGTAACAGTTTTGCATCATATCAGGAACCAGCTCCTGCCCTTCAGCCTTAAATTTGGTTGTCTTCTTTCCGAGATCTAAATTTTCACATTGGTACTAAAGGGTGTGTGATAATCAGATAGCTCATTCTCCTTTGAAGATGTAAATTACTTCTCCAGATTCTTAAAAAAATCTGCAGAAGGTGAAGAGAACAATTTGCAGATGTGCTAGTGTACTGCAGAGCCCTGTGCCCCGAGGTTCTGCACAGCTCTGACATCACCTGCAGCCCACCCAGGTGGTGCTCCAGCAGCTGTGAGCAGCCTGGTTAGACAGCCACAGGACAGAGGTCACCACAGAGTTTGTCTTCCATCTGACCTGGCTAGCTAGGGACTCCTGCTTCAGAGCATGCAACACAAGCATCCCTTTCTGAAATGCATGGGTTTAAAACACCAGATTAAATTATTTCTGAGATTTTGCACATTGCACAACAGCGTCTGAGCAATTTTCTTAGAGATGCTTTGTCTCTTTTCAGATGAGCTGAACAAGAGAAATGAATTTATAAAGTCACTGAAGCAACAGAAGTTTAAAGAGATGTCTCAAAAAGTAGCAGATGCAAGTCTTCACTGCCAGGCTCTGGAGGTAGGAGTGGAGTAATGGTCTGATGTGGCAGTCCATGCCTGTACAGAATGCCAGTGGTGATTCTGAGTCTCATTAGTGAATAAATATTTCATATTAAGGCTTTTGAGTTGCACTTGTCTTTTTGTACAGCAATATTGGATTAAGGTGTAGCTCTTATTCATTGGAAAAAAAAAAAAAAGGAAGGCACAAAAGCTTTCCTGAGCTGTTTTCTATGATTGCTTAGCTTTGGGGAGCACTGCTGGGAACCAGCTTGCCTCCAAAAATGTCAGGCACTGTGATTGCAGAAGGCAGTGCTGGCCCCCAAAGTAGTGCTGGTGCTTGCTTAGGAGGTTCTAGATGGTTTTATTTACAGCTTTTAATTATGCTGATGCACTGTAACATTCTGCAGGCTGTTTAAGGATATGAAAATAATTGTTATTCAAGGTTTCTGGATTTTTTTTTTTAAGTGATTTGGCAATGATGTGTTTATTGGGATAATTTTTCCCCTGTGTGCAGTACAGTAAAGCAGGATTGCACCCTGTCATCTGCCTAATCAGCTTGACTTAAGACATAAAGGATATTAAGACCCTTGATCACAAGCAAGTTTGGTTTTAATGAGACCAGGATGGATTTTTACCCCAGTTCTCTTTTCTCCAGATCCTTACAGCTTGCTCAGAATCCTACGCTGCCATTCATGACATTTAAATAAAGTTGTGCCCACATTTTCTGGAAAAAACATTGTCTTTGAGTCACTGAAGTAGTAGCTGACAGTCTTATTTCTTTTCATTAGGAGAAAAATCAAAGTCTTCACCACTCAGTTTTGGACCTGTCTGCTAAAACAGGCCAGTTGCAAGCAAGGGAACAGAAGCTTCTTACCATGCTTAAGCTGAAGGTAACATCTGTTGTCTCCTCAGGCACTAAAGGTGGTCAAACTGCAGTGCAGTTATTGGTGATTGTAACACAATGGTTTACTCACCATTGATCTCATGGCTGTTTACTTCTTACACTTGTCTGAGAAGGGGAAAGTGATCAACAAACAATAAATTGGTTTACTTTTGTAAACCAGCTTGTTTCCTGGCTTTGATTTTTGGGGTCTTGTCTCAAGAGCTCAGAAGAAAATCTGTAATGTAGCTATAAACTACTGCAGTAAGATGTCCTGTGGTTTTGTCAAAATCCAGATGTGAAGATAAAACAATAATCAAGAATAAATCCTGTTTCCTATTTCAGGATGAGGCTATACTTGAAACAACTGATCACATTACTGAGTTTACATCTAAATTCAGAAATCTGGGAATTGCATTACGTGCAGCAAAAGCAACAGAAATCTATCTCAACAAGGAAAAGCAAGACCTCAAACTGAGACTGAAAGAACTGACACTTGAAAGAAATAAGCTGCAAGGTAAATGTTTATCCTCAGCACCTCATTTCAGTGCAGACCAGCATGATTCCTTTTCATTCTGGGAAATACCACATTTTGTTTTAAAGATGACCTTTCTGAAAAGATGAAAGAAAATAATAAGCAGCACAAAGATATAGTTCACCTCAAAGAAGAAAACATCTCCTTGAGGAAGGAGCTCGCCCTTACTGGTAAGTGTGGGCAGCTGGATTTTCATGTCTTAGCTTTCAGCAGGTCCAGAGACTTCTAGACAACACCAGTTTGCTAAAGCTGTGAAGGAGGCAGCTTTTTATCTGCCTTTCTTGCAGTTTAATAAGGTTTTACCTTTGTGTGTCATTCTTGTGTGAGAGCAATGTCCAGGGCTTCTGCAGGAGCAGTTTATAAAGTTCTGTAAAAACACAGAGGTCACCAGTGTGATTGTGCATCAAAGATTGAATGGCTCAGAGGGGTCTCTCTTGAAGAAATTTGAGAGTTTCATGTCTCCTGTGGTATGAACACAGCATATGGAGGTGGCATTCTCCCCTGTGATGTAGATTGCCTAGAAAATAGGGACCTGAAGAGAAGCCACATGCAAAACCTAAAGCTTAGGCCCTATAGGAAATTATCAGCCCGTTCACTCTCTGTAGTGTTTGTGTGGAACAAGTATGTTTACAAATCCACTTTTTTCTCTTGTTTTTGTTTAAGTGATGGGTTTGATTTCATTTAATATACAGGACTTGGTAAACTTGGTGTCTGTTGATAGCTTCCCTTTGGGTTTGGGTAGAGAGAAACTCTTCTGTGTTGCAGTGGGTAGGAAAGGCAGGCTGCTTGTTGGTGCAGCATTCTTACAAACAAGCAATACACCTTGTAAGATGACCAAAGATGATGTCTGCTGGGAGATGATTCACTTGCCTGTCACTTTTTATTTGTCATTACCTTTGCCAGATATTGATCAGATGTCTCATTATTTTTAAAACAATACTAACAGGAAGTATTTCCCAGCACATCCCTGTGCAAGGCATGAATTAGGATTAATTACTGAATTTCCTCTCCACTGAAGAATGCTAATGTGAAAAAGTAAAATAAATCAGTTAATGAAGTAGAACATTGCTGCTAATAAAATAAAGCTAAGTGCTAGTGAAAAGTCCAGGGTAAATACTTGATCTGTTCAGTTCTCCTGTGGTTTTTGTGCTTATTTTGTTTGGAGAGGAAACAGATCCTGTTGATCTTAAGGAAATGCTTGTGTTTTGGTCAGGTGCTTGTTTCTGCTGCTACAGACCTATGCATTAACAGATGCACTTGCTTTGTGTCTGCTCACTCTACACAGTTCAAAAATTGTCTGTGTTTTGAAACAGTGGAACTTCTTCAATTTGCCAAGTCTAAACAAGCACGGACTGACACAGAGCTCTCAAGTTTGCGACAGGTACAACCCTACTTGTGTTTCTGCTCTGAGATTATGAAGGCATTTGTTGAAAAATCATCAGATCTGCACAGAAAACTGTAAAATTTGATCTAGCTATTCTTAATTAAGAAAAAAAAAAATCAATTTGGCTGTTTCTGCTATGCTGGGATCACTACAGAATGTTGATTTTTTTGATTGCTTGTTCGTTCATTTGTTTGTTTTGTTAAAATTAAAACCCCATAGTACAAATCCTTGCACTTATATGTGCTTTTAGTCTTTTTTTTGTAATATTGTATCAGTCCTCCAAGGAGTAAATACCACCCTCACAGCAGCAAAGTGTGTCACCAGAGAGTGCTTGGCTCAGAAGCCATGTGAAGGGCAGTGGGAGCAGGGCAGGCTGCCTTGCACACATGCCCAAGGTGAACTCATGCAGGGTAAAGGGGCACAGTGTCCTGCAAGGTCTGGATTTTCAGGAGAGACTTAAACCCCTGTTTCCACCTGTGTTCATTTGAGGTTCTGGAGGCGTGTTCAGTTTTTGTCATTGCAGGTAATTATCAGTGTGTTATCTTCTGCATTAGCATTACAAAAAATCCACTGCAGTGAAAGCCAAATGCCATGGTCATCATTCCATGTCCTGTAATTCTGCATAACTTTCAACAACATAATAACAACATGTATAAAATATCAAATAACAGTAAGGGTATTGTAACTGTGGTTCAATGTGGTTCAGTTTATAGAAGACCACTGCAGCCTTCTCATAGAAATAATGTTTACTACCACAAAAAGTTATTTTCCTATATACATACAGAGGTGACCACTTTTATTTGGAAGGATTTGACAGGCATTGGTTTATAGCAAAGTTTTAAGGGTATTTTTGGAAGCCAAGCAATGTGTTAGTACCTGATGACAATATTCCTTCACTCCAGACTTTCCCTGATGTGCATTGCTGTCTTTAAACAGATCTACCTAAAACAACAGCGTGAGTTGCAGTTTCTTCATGTCAGTTCAGAGGGCTCTTGGGAATTAAGGCAAAAGCATGAGAAGGTGGCTCATGAAAGGAGGTAATCTTTTCATCTTTTTTTTTGTCTCCTTTTGTTTTCCAGTAGTTTATTCTCGGAGAGAGACTTCACTCATCAGCCACAACTCATATCCTAAAAGAGATGTGTGCTGTGTCAAGATGGCTTTGCTGGACTCCACCACTAACAGCCAGTGAAGCTGTCAGATCCTTTTTTAAGAGATTGACAGAATGTCAGGGGTTGGAAGGGACCTCAACGTGCTCAGGAGGCAGCATGAGTATCAGTCACAGAATAAAGCACTGTATGCAGCCCAGGCAGTTCATGATTTTTTTTAGAAATTGAATAGTCTGGAGTAAGGGTGTTAATCTGGCCTGCTGCTACTTTTGTTTAAAAATCAAAGTTTGTTTTGTTTTCAGGTTAGGAAATTGGTGCATACCCTGGAGGTTCAGCCAGAATCACCACACTATATAGAACGCTCAGAACGATTTTTAGAAAGTAACAGCCAAATCTGGGCAGACTTCTGTCAGCTTTTGGCAGGATATGCTGCCTGTTGGTATGGGAACTACCACAGAACCACAGCTGCAGCCTCTAGTTAATGTATAGCTTTAACCTTGAGTACAGTTCTGTGCTCTTTAAATGCAGCATTTCTGACTGTTTTCTTTATTGTGCTGTTTTAGCATAAGAGTGACAATTCTCTACCCCGAAAGTAACAGCAAGACAGACACAGTTAAGACTGAGGGCACCCACGGGAAGTGGGAGGAGTGTGGAACTGCACGAGTTCCAAAGAGTAGAGTAAAAACCACCTCTGAGATGTGTGAAGTAGATAATAGACTGTTACAGAGTGCACCAGATTTGGAAGAAACCACTTCAGTGCACTTAAACCAAAAAGTTGTGAAAGTCTCGTCTCTCCTTACAGAAGAAGAAAAGCAGGATGTTGCATCAAGCTCTGATGAGCTACACAGTGAAGTATTTTGTGAGGCAAACAACACAAGGCCATTGAGAAACAGGGAAATTTCTGAGGATGGAGTTGAAAGCAGAGAACCAGGAAGCTTGGAGTCATCTTCACCTGAATGTGAGCATTGCCTGAATGCCAGTTCTTGCATAGCTTCACCAAGTACTTCCACCCAGAGCACCATCACATCTGATGAAACTAGTAATGAAAATAAAACCTGGGAAGAGAGAACTGAAATTCCACTTTGCCAAAAAAGCAGAGACACTCCTGCTGCAATTCATGAGGCTGAACCTGATTCCTGTAGTAAAAACTTCACCATAAAAAATGATTCATGGTGGAAGCCAGTATCAGATCTGGAATGGCTGAAGATTTTCAGATTCATAAAAGGAGATGGAGAAGATAGCAGCTGTCTCAGGACTGCACAAGAGATGAAATGTGCCAGCTCAGAAAGGTTATGTGCTTGTTATGTTTAAGAGAGAGATAAATAAAAGCTGGAGTTCTGTAGAAACTTGGTTGTATAAGCTCTCAATAATTTGTATCATCTCCAGTGATGTTTAAAATACTGCTGTTTTAAAATCAGTCTGCCAACTCCAACAGTAGTAAATTTAAAATAAGTTAAAATAGCTCTAAGGTATCATGATTCTATTTTTATGCATTTAGATTTTCTCTTATCCCCAAGAGCTGCGTGGGCAGGAGAAGCTGCAATATCACAGAACTTGCCAAGCAAACTCATTGAGAAAAATGAAGATTTAAAAGCATCTTAATGATTTTTTTTTTTAAATCTCAGGTGTTGCTTGTAAATCTGGTGGGTAAAATACGTTCTGTGCAAGGCTGGACTTCTACAGTGATGCTTCTGTGAGGCAAGAAGCAAACCTGGATTTTGTGTGAAGCTTTAGTGACTGTGTTATTTCTGTGGAGAAATCACACACTGGCTGGGCAAGAATGTAGGACGTGGCTCTTCCACACAGGCTGCTTTCCTCACTCAGGGCAAGAAAATGAGAGGGCAAGATTTAAATGACAGCAATCTGTCCACTCTCCAGTGTGTCTGTGTTCGTGGGACTCTAGCCCTGTGTTTATGTTGGGGAGGAAGAAGGATATGCAGTGGGGGATGAGCAGAATGAGGTTTCTATGCTGAGAAGTGCTGGAAAAAATATTTGGGTGTCTTTGTGGTGTTGGATGGTGTCTGAGCTATAAATGCTGCTCCACATGTAGGGAAGTGGTTTTGTGCCCACCCAACCAAGGGCATTCAGAGCTGTGACTTTCTGTGGGTTTGTTGTGTGGGTTCCTCTGTTTCATTTCAGAAAATTGGTTGACTCTGTTTTAGAAGGATTTCTGAAGTTCTACAGAGCTTTCATAGCTGCCTTTTCAAGAAGAGGAGGAGGAGAAGCTTTTCAGCTGGTAGTTTGACAAGTGCACTGAATGAGCCACCCTTTAAACCTGCTAAGAATTTTAGCCAGCAAGTCTGCTCAACGTCCAAACAAATTAATGTTGTGGAACAGAAAGATCTTGATGTTTGGATGTTTTCATTCTGTGCTGCTTTTAAAATAAAAATAGTATAGAAATTCTTGCTGCAGTGAGGCAGACCTGTTCAGAAACCAGGTGAATGGGCAGCCATGGAAAAGGAATGCTGCCCCAGCACATTCCCACACAGCTTCACTGAGCTTCATGCTCTCTGTGGACTCTCCACAGTCCATCACTCATTAAAAAGACTCCATTCCCTCTCTGTCTACCCTGACCTTTTTTATCTACTCCCCCAGCAGCACAAATGACACACGACTGCCTCCTCAAATCCCTTTTGTGCCTGAATCATGAAAACAGCTTCCACTTTTTGTCTTGCCTTTAATTATTTTGGGGGAGAAAGAACAAATTCAGCTGAGGCAGTGCAGACAGAGTAGATATCCCTCAGCAAGGGGGGGCTGCTCTGCCAGCTGGGGTCTGCTGCTGAGCTATCAAGTTTTCTTGATGCCCACATTTGGTCTTAGGAGCCCAGCTAGTTGGACTGCTCTGCTATCTGCAGATATCTGATATCTGCAGATCTCAGTCTGCTGCTGAGCTATCAAGTTTTCTTGATACCCACATTTGGTCCTAGGAGCCCGGCTAGTTGGAGCTGGATTGACTTCAGTGCAAATCCCAGTGTCTGCTCTCCAGCCTCTGCTGCCCCTGATGTGCCACTGAATAAATCTCACCCCATAAATGGGAGGAAGGCCATGGCACTGCTGTCATCAGGGTGGGCTTCTGGTAAAGCCTCAGTGGCAGAGACCAGGCACATTCCTTCTGGGACTTGAGTCTGGCTCCTCCAGTTTTTCCATTGCTGGCTTCGTAGTGCTGATGATGTATTTTGTGTATAGGGAAGGGTGCTGGCACCTCCCTGTCAGCCCAGCAAATATTTTTGACATGAGTTCTTGAATTCTGGAAGGGCCAACAAGGAGCTATTAAGGCAAATACCTTATCCAACTGCAAGAGTGCTTGTGAAATACCATAGTGCAGGAATCATTTCTGTGTGCTCTGACGTGATGACTTCATTTATTTTGGACCAACTTTTGCTGCCTTCGGGATTTTTATCTCAATTCTGGTTTTAAAGATGGAGTGTCAGCAGTAGCTTGTTCAGTCTGCCCCTGCTGGGCTAAGCCACCCATTCCTTGAGCCATCTCCCTGCCTCAAAATCAACCTGTTTCCCCCTTCCCTCCCAACCTCTGTACCCCCAAAAAATGGACTGTGCTTATTGCATCTCCCCACGTCCCCTCTTCTCATCTGCTCCAGCTTGTTCCCTCACATCTCTCCAGAGCCCTTCCTTGTCAGAAGCACACAAGCATGAGCTTTTATTTCTTAAAAAACAGCCTGTTGGATCCCAGGAGAGGGGAAATGAGACACAGCAGATAATTCTGAACTGGCATCTCTCACAAGGGCTTTTTCTTAGACTGGATATAATTTACAATTAAACCTTTTTCTAAAAGTCTTGCCAGGTGTGGACTGTGGTGTTCCACCAAAATAAGTAGTGCTGCATGAAAACACAGCCCAGAGGACACAGGGCTTAGTTTTAGGGTGCTGCTGGGTTGCTGTAGTACTAGACTAGGTGATCAAGGACTTCTCAAATGTGCTGCAGCTTTTATTGCTTCTGTAGTTGGTTCTG